AATACTACGACTTTATTCTTGTAATACTACGACTTTATTCTTGTAATTTTATGACTTTTTTCTCATAATGTATGGTAATTTTTTTTTTCTTAGCGTGTCCCTAATACTCAGTCGTAAAACAGCGAGGAAGACAAACTTCATCTAAAAACGTTATATTAAAATAATTATTTTGTCTTTATCTTGTTCTGCTCGGTCCAACTCATCTGGATTACCTGAGATTATATAATTTCAATCCGGGTGTGAGGTTTGTGTAGAGGTGGTGTTACCTGCTGGTCTGGTCCTGGGGGTCTTCTGTTTTACTGGTGTTGAGGTTTGGACCACCTGAAACACAGGAGACCTCTGCAGGGTGGAGGTTTGAGGAGGAGGAGAGGTTCTCCTTGTTCTCTTCCAGGGAGGAGGAGGTGGTGATGGAGGTGGGGGTGTCCCGACTCGATCCAGACGTCTCCATGTAGAAGATCTGTGCTGGTTCCTGCAGGACTGAAGCCTCAGAGATGCTGTTGTTGTCCATCAGAGTCCTGGAGGGGAGGGCTGGTCCAAAAAAGATAAAACAGGGTAAAGAATAAAACTCGACACTAGAACCTCAGCTGAGGAACCTCGAGTGAAGAACAGTGGATCAAAGTGATTAAAGGAGGAAATGCTCCCAGTGTTCCCTGGAGGTTTGGACCAGACTGGACTGTGATTGGTTTAGATCAGCAGATGAATCTTGAACTTTGACCCTCAAGAGGAGCTCCATCTGAACAGAACCCAGGTGAAGAAAGAAAATTCAGAAGGTGGAAAAGAAACACCTGAGGAACGCTCACAGACCTCCCAGAGTCCTCCTGCACTGGACCACCAGCGCCGTGCGGCGTCTGTGTGGTGGACGCCGCTGGGAAGTCCCACAGGAAGTTCTCCTACTAAGAACCGGCTGCGGACACCTGACTGTGGCGGCAGAAACACAGGATTCTGAAGCTGGACTCATTTAAAGGAAAAGTCCAACATATGGAGACATTCAGGTTCTCCTGCAGAACCAGAAGAACCTGAACCTTTAGTTCTGAAACGAAAACACTTCATTACGTTTTCAAACAAAACAAGATCTGCTGAGATGTTCCCGATTTAAGATTTTTTAAAATATTCATAATTCTAAATGTTCTTCAGAGAAACCCTCAGAGCGTCAGAGGAACATCCACATGGACAGCAGAACTGTGGTCAAACCATCACACCATCCTCAACTTCTCCCTATGTATGAGACGGACCAGAACTTCCACACGACGGTCATCAGGGCCGTCCACAGTGACAGAACCATCAAACAGAACCTGTGGTACCATCAGAACCTTCTGCTGCTCATGGATTAAGAAGTTCTTTGATCTGACTCAGTTTACAGAGACTGCCTGAGGCTTACTTTTCAGGCTGTCCTGGTCTAGACTCAAGTGTGTGGTTACCATGGTGACCATAGACTCATTTCTTTTGATCTCCGTCCTCTTTGCTCTTCTACAGTTTATTCATCAAAATGTTGACGTTTATTCGGAGCTTGAACCGTGTTGGTTTCGTTCACAGCTGCTTTTCATTACTTCTCAGTAGAGAACAGAACCTGAGGACCCACCTGCAGAGCTGCCGGTGGAGGTCGAACCTTCAGAGGCAGCGATGACGACGCAGCTGGACTTGGACCTCACCTGAACACACGGTTTGTTTGAGCAGTTTAACGAAGCTGCAGGAACTTCCTGTGAAGCATCGATCAGGTGCGTTTGTTTACCGATCTGACATTGCTCTCCTCTGAGATCCTGCGTGGGACGGAGATGGGGGGCGGGGCTCGGACCGGCCACGCCCTGAATAACAGGAAAGGAAAAAAAAAACGTTTATTATCGTGACGAGCACCATCGGTCTCCGGGGCTTGTGGGAGTGCAGACCTGACTCGGTCCTGGAAGCGGGACAGGAAGCGGGTGGAGATGCTGAGTCGAGGGTTCAGGAAGTGTTTTTCCTCCGGAGGCTGCAGGCTCGTCGGGTCGGTGTCGAAGCGTTCTGCAGAACCACAGGGAGGTCAGCGCCGCTGTCAGAGGAAACACTGAGGACGACGAACGGGTTCTCACCTTCCAAACTCGAGACCAGAGTCTCAAAGTGGTTCTTCACAGAGTTACTGTCCTCGTCGTCCTCTAGACCCAAACTGCCCACAGAGCTGCCCTGACTCAGAGAGTCCGTGTCTGAGGAAGAGGAGGCGAGGAAGAGGAGGTACAAACATATTCAGCTCAGAGCTTCGGCTGCTTTAACAGAACGGATCTGACCAGAACCTCAGAGATCATTTAAACATCTAATGAAGAATCCGTCCAGAGGACCTGACTGAACCTCGTTAGTTCTCTGCCTGGATCACCGAGCATCAGATCAGTCCCTCAGCAGAGACATCAGAGGACAGGTTTTAGGCCCATCAGAGGGACAAGTTTTAGGCCCATCAGAGGGACAAGTTTTAGGCCCATCAGAGGGACAAGTTTTAGGTCCATCAGAGGGACAAGTTTTAGG